GGCGGTAGGCTGGACCCGCTGGCGTCCCCTGATCTCTCCTGTTTCCGGGGCGGTGGGTTGTCCCTGGAGGCGTCGTCGGTGCCCTTCTGAGGGCTTGGCATGCCTTGCTCGCCGCTCCCGCTGGCTGCGTCTTGGGCGACGGCTTGTGCGCAGGGCGTCCATGGGTCTTGGACGGTGGATTCCTTTGGTTCACCAGGTGCGTCACACCATGTATAGGGGATCTGCCTCCGAGCTCCTGCTGGGGCTCCTCTCCTTAGCAGCTAAGGCTGGGGCCTCCGCGTCTGGGCTGAAGTCAGGGAGAAAGGATTCGGAGGGCTCCTGGGGTTCCTGCACTTCTGTCTCTACTTTGCAAGACTGTCCGGCGTTGCTCTGGTCGACTACTGTTTCATGGGTCTGCGGTGATTCATCCTTGACCCTGGGAGTGTCGAGCGCCTCGCGGGATGGCTGGGGAGTTTCGCCGCTGCGTGTTGCGCCCGCAGGTCCTGCAGCCTTTACCTTCGGCACGACTCCCTGACTTACCTCGCTGTGGGAACCTGCGCTCGCGGCATCCCTGGTCCCGTCGAGCCAGCTGGCTGCGCGCGAGTCGCCCTGTCCCATTGCGCAGGTGGCGGTCTGGACTGGATCTTGCCGTGCCAGGGAACTAATGGTGCCGTCGGCAAGGGCGGAGGCGTCTATATCCGCTAGGTAGCCCAGCAGGGTGCTGCTGGTGTGGCGGAAGGGGGTTGCGGCCTCGCTGCTCTCCCAGGAGTGAGGCGTATGCCCGCCATTTGTCCGCGTGTACGACATTTTTCGAAAGGCGGAAGACGACCTGGGCAGCCGCTGCCCTCTTGCCGGCCCAGGGGATATTGGCTGGGTGGCATTCTGCGGGGATACTTTGTCCATAGATGCTGACCAAGAAGGGGTTCAGCTTGCTGGGGGGCCATGACGCTTCGCCAGTCTTATCACCAAGAACTCCTTCCGCATGCTGCCGCGCGTAGTCAGTCCACCGACTGTAGACCTCTGGACCCCACTCCAAGAGGAAACGAACCAGTGCGCGGTGTATGCCGTGGGAGTCGGGCTAGTTAATACCCCGCCCAGGCAGCTCGACTGTGGAGCGGGTTGGCACCGCGGGACCTGGCGGAGGGGCGCTGCTTGGAAGTAGGGCGCCGATTTCCCGGAGCCTGGGGCCCTCGCGCGCCCATTGTCCGCTGGGGGAAGAGCCCTCGCCCCCTGCTGTGGAGGGCCGTCCACTTGCGCGGTCCGTCGGCCTGGAGTAGGCGTCCGCAGCCGCTGCGTTGGCGGCGCCAGGGTGGAAGTGGACTGTGATGTCGGTTCTGTCGACTTCCATACCAGCAGGGGTGTCGCGCTTACTTGGCGCCCTGGGGTAGACGTCAGCTGACTGTTTGTCGAGGATGTGGTCGAGCGTGCCTGGGGCAACATTCCACATGTACGGTAGGCACCTTCTGCAAGACCAGCTGGCATTCCACTTCCTTTGAATCCAGAGTGCTGGCATGTGCTCCCAGGGGGGGGGGGGGTCCTGTGTCGCTGGAGACGGGGGCGTCCTGGTCTGGACGCCAGAGGAAGCAACCTAAGGCGGGCTTGTCTGCACCCCAGACCAGCAGGGGGCCCCTGGCGGGCACGTGTCACACCTGGCAGAGTAGGCGTTGGTGGAGTGAGCGTCGAGGCCTAGCCTTCCGTCAACCATCAGCCAGCTTGTGGGCTGGGGGCGTCATGTTGGCCGACCGCGGCCGATGCGCGCTGGGGGCCGCCATGGCCAGGTCGCGCAGCGATCCTGGCGTCGGCGCCAGCGGCGGACGCCCGAACCCGAGAGGAAGGTGTGCCAGGGCTGGGGGCACAAGTGATTTCCTGTCTTGTTGCTTGTCCTCCAGGTTGGCCATGTGGTCTAGGATCCGTTGGCCCATGACCCTTTCCGAGGTGCAGCCAGGCGGGGCGGAGGGTGTGGGAGACGATCGAGCATTGCTCGCAAAGACATTTGCAGTTCTTGCCCAGCATGTACGCCTGGGCACGGTTCTGTGCAAGGAGCTCCCTTGTGTCGTCGTCTTCCCAGGTGCCAGCGGAGTACTTGAGCCCTTTCTTGGTGCAGTCGCTTCCGTCGCAATTGAACAGGGATCCTTTGAGACCCGTGCTGGCAAACCGTCCGTCGGTCACCCTTGGGGGTTTCAGGGGCGCACCTGGAGCAGGGGCAGCCGGCCTGTCATGGTCGAGCCTCCTTTTGAACATGGCGGTACCACCCCCGATGTACTGCAGCCCTGCCATGGAATTTGGGCATCCGAGACCCTGTTCAGACCCAGTGAGCAACATGTGCAGGGCGCAGATGGAGCAGCTGAACCCACCTAGTGGGTCGATTTTGGCCGGCTGGACGAGAGCTTCCAGGACCCTCATAGAAGCCTCCACGGAGAACTTGCTGCCTTTCATCCCTGCCCATGTGCGTGGGCACTCGTGCTTACGGGCGACAGGGTGATGGTGCGCGGACGTGGCAAGCCTGCTGATGTGCTTGATAGCGTCCTCGAACTTCCCGTGCAAGGTGGTCAGAGCGTTGAGAGTTAGGCCCCAAGCGTTGGCGAAGGCGGTTCTGTATTCCAGGTGGACGCTTTGCCAGGGTACGCAGATGCCCATCACCGCCTCCGCTATGAACCCGGTTGCCTCTGGGTAAGGGAAGGGCCAAAAGTGCGGCGCGGGGCTCGCGAAGCTGGATCATGATAACCACCGGGAGGACCCGGAAGGAGGGAATGTCCAACGGGAGTCCTTCGCTGTTGAGGAGGTCCTGTCTCAACGTGGAGCCGCCTTGGGCGGCCTGTAGCAAGTGCGCCAGGTTCTCCATTTCAGGGTGCACGCGATGCCTCCTGCACTTTCCCGTGGTTGCGCTCCAGGCCTTCGGAAATTGGTGCAGGATCCCAGGCGGGGTGCAACGCTTGTTGTCCTTGGGTCGGTGGCTGCGGCCCTGCACCTCGGGCATGGGGGGAGTGATTCGACGGGGACAGACGGGCTCTTATCTGCCCAGGGAATGCCAAGCCCCAGGATCCACATCAGCGCTGCCCACGTCATGTTGTCGACGAGGTTGCTGGCGTCGATTCCTAAGTCCACGTCGTAGCAAAACCCCAGGTGGCTCCAGGCCTTGCGGTCGAACAGGCCCGGTTCCCTCGGGGCGTCGGCAATGGAGTACTGGTGGGGGGGGGCAGACCAGAGACTGTGTATAGGACTTCCCCCAGGGCGGGGTCCTCGATTAGCCTGAGTAGGCTATTCTGTATGGCGTTACCGAGGGCGTCCCAGCAGAACGCGGGGTCTAATGGGGCAGCGATCTTGTCAGCGAAGTTCTTGTCCACTGAGGCCCGAGCTTTGTCTATGGCGCTGTCAATCCTCTTGATTGCGTCGTCGCCTGCGTGTGAGAGGGTAACTGACTCGGGGACCCGGGCCGCTAGCCCAACGATGGGGTCGAAGCCTGTGTCGATCTCTAGTACCTTGCGCCGCCCACTTTTGTTGGGCTCCTGGAAGCGTACCCACAGCTTCGCCAGGCGCCCGTACTCAGAGAGCTTGCGCAGTCTTGACCAGGAGGCTGTTGCGAACATCCTCCCGTCGCCAATGACCACGACATTCCGCGTCGCCCATGGCGACGTTCACCTTGTTGGCGCTATCCATGAAGCCCCAGTCGTGCCGCCCGTTGGATCTGGTCGTTAGAAAGATGACGATGTCTGCCTCTCCACCTTGGCTGGAGTCGATGGTGGAGAGGACGAGCCTGCCGCTTGCCAAATGCTCGGCTGCGAATTGCCGCACGCCAGGGAAATCCAGGGAGACGCCGGTGCGCCATGAGCTCGGTTGGTCAAAGACGCTGGCGTAATCGCTCGGATCCACTGGCCGCCTGGACTCGTCCGCTGCGCCAAGGCCCCGGCCTTTGCCCCCTTCGGTCTTACCCTTCCCTTTGCCTCGCCCCTTCGACTGCCGAAGGGTGCCGCTGATGCTTCTGGACCTCTGGGGCCACCCGTTTTCCAGGATGGCACATTGGAACTGATAGCCGATGACTACCCGGACTGTGACGCGAGGCGTCAACAATTTGTCGAAAGAAGGGGCACGAACACAATGATGGGTATGTCGGAAAAAGGGCACGAACATGATGAGGGGTGTGTCGAAACGTGTGATTGGTGTGCCAACGTGGGGGCGGTGGCGCCATACGTCGGCGCGCCAACTACCTAGCATGGGGTGCTAAACGTGTGGGGGGTGCGCCGAAAAGGGGGGCGGCGGTGCCATACGTCGGCGCCCACTGGGACCGTACGCGCAACTCCCGTGGGGCACGAGCCGCGTGAGAGGTGTGCCGAAGTGGCGTCGGCGGGGCACCCACTGAGACTGGATGTGGAGCTCACTGGAGGACACGGAACGTGTGAGGGGTGTGCCAGGAGGGGGGGGGCGGTGCCGGGCGTCGGGGCCCGCTGAGACCGTGGGTGGAAGTAACCTGAGCGGCACGGGGCGTGTGAGGAGCGCGCGGGAAGGGGCACGCGGAGGGCAGAGGGCAGAGGGCGGGGAGGAGGCGGAGTTGGAGGAGGGGGCGCGCGCGCGCTGCAGAGTCGAGACGAGGGCCCAATTTCACACAGGAGTGCTGAGAACCACCAGGTGCCCAAATGGAGCTACCAAGCGCAAGTAGGCACGACATGATACATGGAATGCGGCGGCCGCTGACCGCAGCCTAGCTCTGGCTACTGGTGTGCGAGCTGGCCTCGCAAGGGACGCCATTTTCTGGCGCGGCGCGGGATGCTGACGGACTTGACTCCGTTGAACACTAGGAGCCAGGGCCACTGGAATCACGTAAGCCAACATATTCGACAACAAACCCGACCCAGTGAACCGGCCTCATTTCAAAATCTCCTCCCTTTCATCTTCCTGGTCTGCTTCCTTCTCCTGTCTTCCTCATCCCCATCGTCCTCCGTATCCTAGTTGACATCGTCCTTCTCCTCCTTCTTCTGCAGATCGTCCTTTCATAGCCGCATCCTCCTCATGCGGGCACGCTGCGCCTCCTCTTCCGTCGAGTAGACAGCTGCACCTGTACCCTTGCCCCTGCCGGAGAAGACTTCCACCCACTTCGTCGCTCCAGCCTCCGTCCAGTGGGGCCAATGAGAGAGGTGACGATCGAGAGGGGGAGGTGGAACCAGACCCCGACAGTAATGACATGTTGCAGAAAACATGCCCCAAGTGCTGCCATAACGACTTCGGCGGCTCTCGAGAATCTGCCTTGTCCGCTGGCATCATGCATAGTACCCCGCATTGTCGAGCATTCTCGCGCACATATCAATTTGTACAGGCGTGTGATGTGCAATCACGGTTGAACGCGCGCATGTGGAATGTTAGCGTTCTGGAAGCAACATGCGTATACGACTCATTCAAACAAGCCTGTATAGACACTTCCAAATTCGTGTGCGCCCAACTGAGCTGTCCTCGCGCACAGAGAACGACGTATAGCTGATGCAATGCAAACCTGCTTAGACACATACGTACGTGGAACGTGCGTCGTGCTTCTCTTGCACCAGTGTACACGTGCTATGCGCATGGATGTGTGCATAATTGTACTCATGTGTATGGGTTTGTGTATCTCTACGTGCACGTCCTCTTCAAGCGGCTTACTCAAGGTAATGGTGAAGCACATTTGCAAGCCGGGCCTGACGTAAATCTAAAGAAGCGAATGCAGCCCAGGCACGGCCGCGTCGGCATTGAGCTCCTCGTGCGACCAGACTTAAAGCATGAGGTCCGAGTCTAGACTTGCACGATCGCCAGAACATCGCTGCAACCTCGGCGCCTCACGAATAACTCCGCCAGGGCTGCCAGTCAGCGCAGCGCAGGCATCGAACACTGCAGGGATGGGCTGAGTTAGTCCGCGACACCAGAGAGAGATAGAGGAAGAGAGAAAGAGATAGCCATATAAGCCGCTGTAGCCGAGAACCGATCGGGGCGATCAACGTACTGTGCCCAGCAGGTCCGCAGCAAACGCACAAGGAGGACCCCCTCCTTCGCCACAACCCCAGAGACCACTAACACCTCTCCCGCCCCCAAACAACGACTACAACGTGGAAACCAAATCAATATTACGACGGCCTGCGGGTGCCCAAACGGAGTACCGGTGCATGCGCACACACACACACACACGTGGTAAGGAGTAATTGCGTGTAGGTATCTGCTAGCTCCCATTCCTGGGGCCAGGTCGCCAAGCGCTCCCTGGCCCCGAACACAAATCAGAATTCTGAGCCACTGAACCCAGGAAGAGAGACGCCAAAGGCCCGAATGACAGATGTGTGAAAGAACCAGGGCGGAAGGAAACGGGAGCTCTTGAGAAATCTGCAAACACACACGAAGGACTGCACGGTGAAACCTGGGAGGCACAGACAGACGAATATGTCATGGTATGGGCGTCGCCTGGTTCATGTGCGTCTGCAGATCCTTCCAAGATGTGTTATCAGCCAGGTTGCCGATCCAGACCTTGTCAGGGGCTGTCTAATTGGGGAGATGGGAAGGGGATGACTGAGAAGCGGCAGGGAGACGGAGAGGTGCTGTACAGCAGAAGTGGAAGGGGGCGAGCAAAATAGCTGGCAGCGTAAAGAAGAGGGGAAGCTTCCCACCCCAAGATGGCTCGAGGTGGCCACGGACCATCGCAGGATGCACTCGAGAAGCGACATGATATAACGATTGCCGCTACCTTCTCGCCTTTCCGCTTCTGATGGCTCTTCGAATCCTCAACATTGCCCACATGTGGCCACAGGAGAGCCACCAGAGCGTCCCATAAGCCAAAGGCATCGCATGGGACTCCGATGGGGGCGTGCGTTGTTTGGCCAACTCGCGTGGGAATATCTTCAGGATGTGCTGATTTTTTCTAGGGGAACAACATCGAGTCCTTCTCGCAGGAGCAGCAGGCGACCCTGCCGGCGAGCAGGCGAAACGCAATGGTCGAACGGTCTGCTCCCTGAAAGGCCCTAGTTCGGGTGTCGCCAAAAGTGACACTGGCCCAATATGCCCCTAAAATTTTCCAGGCGGCCCAAATGGCCTTCTGAACACCCCTCAAGAACATGATCGACCCACGAAGCCGGAAAGGGATTTAGAACGGCGAGGCATGGGAACGTTTCCAAGCACCTCAATTGGGCGGTGGGCAGTGGCAATACTGAAGATACCAATGATGATACTGTGCCAGGGGCTGTGTTGTGCTGCTTTGCGCTGTGCCGCGCCGCACAATGACGTGCCAGGGGACGCGCCACGGAAGGTGCCAGTGGACGTGCCAAAGGTTGCGCCCCGGGACGCGCCACGGAACGTGCCAGGGGACGTGCCAGGGGACGCGCCCAAGAGCCACGATCCATCGTAAATCACGCTGCGTCCGCGCTCTCAGGGCCAAGATCCCTTGTAAATTAAACTGGGTTCGCGCTACCTAGGCCTCGGTCATTTGTCGCATGGCCACAGAACGTGACAGTGGGACGCGCACTCCCCTGTCCCGCGCTCCCAGATCACGCTGCGTCCGCTCACCCGAAGACGCGATCCCTCGTAAATTGTGCTGCGTCCGCGCTCCCAGGGCCACGATCCCTTGTGAGTTACGCCGCGTCTTCTCTCCCATGGCCAGGATCCATTGTAAATTTCAATCTGCGCACTCCCGCGGCCAGGATCAGTTGTAAATCACGCTCTGTTTGCCCTCCAGGGCCAGAATCCCTTGCAAATAACGCTGCGTCCGCGCTGCCAAAGCCACAATCCCTGGTGCACAACGGTGCTTCTGCACTCCCAGATCCGCCTGGGCATCCTGGTGCGCCCAGGCCCTTCAAATGTCGCAGATCAAGCGCCTCGCTCGAGACATCCCCGAGGATTCTGCGTGCAGGACCTCGCCATCCTCGGGCGGGCATGCGCAACACGATGTTGTTATAATTTCCTGTTGCAGTTCAATGTTTCCAGGCTTCGTTCCTTGTAAGGGTTCTGCGCAACCGCTCCGGACTTTCCGTCACGATGGGGAGCGGCGGTCTGCGGACCTCGTCATTTAACCGAGGATCTGAGATGGGGGGCGCACTTTCCTTGGACGGGCACGCACGACACGCATTTCTCTACACCAGATGTTGCTTAACGAGCGACAGTTCGCCAGCTCTTGCCCAACATGGCACCTGGGACAAAAGACAAAAAGAGTACACACAAAAAGAAGGAAAAACATAAAAAAATAACAGAAAAAAAAAACCTGGGACAGTTTACCAAGTGAAAGAGAACCCTGGGCACACGCCTTTTCCGGGAAAAACACATGGTTTTGGCTCACGGGCGAAAGGGACCCATGTAAAGTTACATGGTTTGTGCCGACGGGCGGGGGGGACCCATATAAAAACACGTGGTTTGGCGCAAGTGCGAACGACACCCGTGTACACGTGGTTTTGGCCCAAGAGCGATACAAACAACTGGTCTGAACTCAAAAAAAAAAAAAAAAAAAAAAAAAAAAAAAAAAAAAAAAAAAAAAAAAAAAAAAAGAAAAAAAAAAAAAAAAAAAAAAAAAAAAAAAAAAAAAAAAAAAGAAAACAAAAAAAAAAAAAAAAAAAAAAAAAAAAAAACAAAAAAAAAAAAAAAAAAAAAAAAAAAAAAAAAAAAAAAAAAAAATCAAACAAAAAAAAAAAAAAAAAAAAAAACAAAAAAAAAAAAAAAAAAAAAAAAAAAAAAAAAAAAAAAAAAAAAAATAAATAAAAAAAAAACAACAAAAAAAAAAAAAAAAAAAAAAAAAAACAAAAAAAAAAAAAAAAAAAAAAAAAAAAAACAAAAAAGGAACAAACCCAAATAACATGACCGACCCACGAATCCGGAAAAGGGATTTATGAGTGCACGGTCAGGAAACTTCTCCAAACACCTCAATTGCCATGGCAGTGGCACTGCGAAAAGCTATCAGTGGTACTGGCCTACTGTGCCATGAGCTTGTGCTGTACCGCTGTGCGCTGTGCCGCGCCCGGCACAAGTGTGCCAGGGGAACGCGCCACGGAACGTGCCAATGAAACGTGCAGGGGACCGCCGGCGATGTGCCAGGAGGAGCGCGCACGCAACTGTCCAGGGGACGCGCCACGGAAAGTGCCGCGGACGTGCCAAGGGACGTGCCAGGGGACGCGCCGTGCGACGTGCCCAAGGCAGGCGCCAGGGAACGTGCCAAGGAACGTGCCCGAGGTCACGACCCCGCGGGAATTACGCTGCGGCGTCGCTCCCGGGGCTACGCTCCCTTGCACATTACGCTGGGTTCGCGCTCCCAGGGCCACGTTCATCTGTAAATGAGGCATGGGTCAAGCTCCAAGGGCCAGGATCCCTTGCAAATCGCGCTGCGTCCGCGCTCACAAGGACAAGATCCATCGTAAGTTGTTCAGGATTCACGCTTCTATGGCCCCGGTCCTTTGTGAATTGCCCTGCGTCAGCGCTCCCAGGGCCGCGATCTCTCATGAATTGCGCTGCGTCCGCGCTCTCAGAACCACGACCCCTCGCAAATTACGGTGCGTCCGCGCTCCCAAGGCCACGACGCACTCCGCGCAAATTGCCCCAAACGAGCCACCCACCTTCCCTTCCGGAGTAGAGCGCCATACTTTTCTGTATTGGGATATGTGTTCGGGTGGCGCTTTTGGGCCCAGGCCGTTTCCTGAAAATTCGGCGCTGTACCCGAAGGCGCGAATCCTCGTCCGCGCTCCCAAGGCCACGAGCCTTTGTAAATCACGCTGGGTTCGTGCTCCCATGGCCAAGATCCCTTGTACATAACGCTGGATTCGCGCTCCCAGGGCCGCCTTCCTTAATACATTACTCTGAAGGCAGGACACCACATGATAATCAATGTAGAGCGCCCTTCGTTCCTTCCTTTTCGCCGTGGCCGAAGACCCCCGTCTCGCTTTCTATTGCGCCTCCTCCTCATCGTCTTTGTCTTCTTTGTCCTCCGTCTCCTCCTCTTGCGCGCCCTCCTTGTTCAATGTCTCCTCTTCCTCTTCGTCCTTTCCCTCCTCCTCCTCCTCCTCCTCCTCCTCCTCCTCCTCGTCCTTCTCCTCCTCCTCCTCCTCCTCCTCCATTTCCTCCTCCTTCTCCCCCCCTTCCTAATCTCCATCCCGCCTGTTCTCCTCATGCGCCTCTCCTCTCCTGGCAGGGGGGCGCATGCCGATTTTCCTCGGCGCCGTCGCCGCCGCGCCCAGCAGGGGCGTGTTCTCCGATGGCAAAATCGCGAAATCGTCGGGGCAACGGCCATGGGGACAACCCCGCGAGCCGCTGGGGCACGAGAGCACGCCGTTGGGACAACACCGCAAGCACCGAGTTAGTCGCGGTCGCGTTCAGGCGGGAGGCAGCAAGAAATTCAGCTCTGCCGCGAGCTGTTCAACGTCAGCCCTGGAGTCCACCGCTCTCTCGTCGAACTCCTCGAGCGACGTATAACTAGGGAGGGGGCTCCCGCCTGAGACTTCCTCGCAACTCGCTCACAGACGCGCGAGGGACGCCTCGTGATGTGCCCTCTTGGGGTGCTCAAGTGCGATGCCTGGCAGGATTTGCCGACGACCCGCTCGGATTACCAACGTCAAATGCGGGCCACATAAAGGGGGAGGGGCTTCCGCCGGAGACTTCCTCGCAATCCACTCACACACGAAGCCACCGCGTGTGAGTTCCTCTACATTCAATCCAGAAGAACCGAAAACTGACGACACTTACAAGTTTCCGATGGCCCGCTCGGATTACCAACATGAAATGCGGACCCCATAGGGAGGGGGCTCTCGCCTGAGACTTCCTTGCGACTCACTCACAGACGAAGCTCCCGCCAGAGACGCCCTCCATATTCAATCCACAGGAGCCGACAAATTATGACAATTTCACGTTTCCGATGACCAGCTCGGATTGCCAACATGAAATGCGGACCCCATAGGGAGGAAATTCTCGCCTGAGACTTCTTGTAAGTCATTCACAGACGAAACTCCCGCTTGAGACACCCTCCAAGTTCAATCCAAAGAAGCCGAACAGTGATGACAAGTACAAGTTTCCGATGACCCGCTCGCACTGCCAACGTGAAGTGCGGACCGCATAGGGAGGGGGCTCTCGCCTGAGACTTCCTCGCTATCCACTCGCAGACGTAGCCACTGGGTGAGACGTCCTCCATACTCAATCCAAAGGAGCCGGACAATGACGACAATTACACGTTTCCGACGACCAGCTCGGATTGCCAACATCAAGTGCGGACCCCATAGGGAAGAAGTTCTCGCATGAGACGTCGTCGCTATGCACTTACAGACGAAACTCTTGCCAAGGACTTCCTCCATATTCAATCCAGAAGAGCCGGAAAGTGACGATTGTTATAGAGTTCCGACGACCCGCTCAGATTACCAACGTCAAATGCGGATGACCGCATGGGGGGGGGGCTCTCGCCTGAGACTTCCTCGCTACCCACTCACAGACGAAACTCCCGCCTGAGACTTCCTCCATATTCGATCCAGAGGAGCCGAAGAAGAGTCGACAGTTACAGGGTTCCGATGACATGCTCGGGGGCTCTCGCCCGAGACTTCGTTGCGATTCACTCACTCACAGACGAAGCTCCCACCTGAGACTTCCTCCATATTCAATCCACAGGAGCCAGAAAATGACAGTTACAAGTTTCCGATGGCCCGCTCGGATTGCCAACATGATGTGCGGACCCCATGAAGAGGGGGTTCCCGCCTGAGACTTCCTTGCAAGCCACTCGCAGACGAAACTCCCGCCTGAGACTTCCCCGAATTCAATCCAAGGGAGCCGACACATGACAACAATTACAAGGTTCCGATGGCCCGGTCGGATTGCCAACATGAAGTGCGGACCCCATAGGGAAGGGGCTCCCGCCTGAGACTTCCTCACGCATTACTTACAGAGGAGGCTCCCTCTGAGTCGATGATCGCGATGGGATGGTGATAGTGATGAAAATGTGATGGTAGTGATGGCGATGCTGATTGATGGTGGGGGGTGCTTGAATGATGATGGTGGTGCATAGTGATGATGAGGCGGAAAAGAAGTTGTGTGTGAGATTGTGCTGTTGATGTTGATTGTGAATGAGGGTGTGTGTGTACTGCTGATGATGATGATGATGATGGTGGTGCTGATGATGATGAACGTGATGACGGTTGTGATGGTGATGGTGATGAGGTCGAGGAGAGGGGGGTGGGTGGGAGGTTCCTGCGCGGAGGTGTGTAGAGAAAACAAAAAACCCATTTAGGATGTGGGGAATTGCTCTGGATTCGCGCTCCCCAAACTCAGTTGCGCCTGCGCTCTCCGAACCACGATCTTTGTACATTGCACTGCGTTCGCGCTCTCAAGTTCACGATCCCTCGCAAATTACGCTGCGTCCGCGCTCCCAGGGCCACGACGCACTCCGCGCAGGTTGCCCCAAAAAGCCACCCACCCTCTTCCCCAAAGCAGAACGCTACCTTTTTCTGTATTGGGATCTGTGTTCGGGTGGCGCTTTGCGGCCCCCGCCGTTTCCTGAAAATTCGGCGCTGGACCCGAAGGCGCGAATCCTCGTCCGCGTTCCCAAGGCCACGAGCCTTTGTAAATCACGCTGGGTTCGTGCTCCCATGGCCAAGACCCCTTGTACATAACGCTGGATTCGCGCTCCCAGGGCCGTGTTCCTCAGTACCTTACGCTTGATTCGCGCTCCCAAGGCCACGATCCCTCGAAAACTTGTTGCGTCTGTGCTCCCAAGGCCACGGCCTTTGTAAATTGCACTGCGTCCGCGCTCCCAGGGCCACGATCCCTCGTGAATTATACGGCATCCGCGCTCCCAAGGCCACGATCCCTGGTACATAACGGTACCCCTGCACTCCCAGAACCACCTGGGCATCCTGGGGCACTCAGGCCCCTCAAGTGCTGCAAACCAAGCGTTTCGCTCGAGACATCCTGAAGGATTCTGCACGCAGGACGCGCCATCCTCGAGCGGGCACGCGCAAGATCAGCTTGTTCTCATTTTCTGTTGCCTGTCAATGTCTCCAGACGTCGTGATTTGTAAAAGAGTCCGCCCAAAACGCTCCGCATCCTTCTATTACAAGTGGCACGGGGGACTGCGGACCCTGTTATTTATCGAGGATCCGAGATAAGGGGGCACGCTTGCCTCGAGCGGGCTCGCGCGAAACGCATTTTTCCATAGAGAACTAAACATTACATACTTATTTGTTCGAATGGAAATCCGCCGCCCCTACGCGAATTTAGCACTGGGGACAAATTACCCACTAAACGATAACCCTGGGCCCACGCCCTTACCGGGGAAAACGCGACCATGTTAGATACCCCCTTGGGTGGCCTGGGAACGTAAAACACGTGGGTCCAGCAAGGGACTGCCATGTTCGATACCCCTCTGGGTGGCCTGGAGACGTGAAAACAGGTGGTTCCATGTCAGGACCACCACATGTTACATACCCCAATGGGAAATCTGGGAAGTCACCGGCCGAAAAAACAGTGCCAAGTTATTCCACATCTGGTGACGACTTATTTTGTTTCTGGATCTTGTGCCCCCCCAAGGGGTGCCTAGAAGACCACATGTCAGATATCCCTCTCTTGGTGGCCTGGACACGTAAACCATGATCGAACCACGAACCTGGTACGGGAGTTAGAACTGCGAAGCCTTGGCACGCTTCCAAGCAGCTCAGTTGGGCGATGGGCAGTGGCAATGCTGAAGATACCATTGGTGATGATGCTGTGCCAGGGGGCTGTGTTGTGCTGCTCTGCGATGTGCCGCGCCGCACAGTGACGTGCCCGGGGACGCGCCAGAACTTGCCAGTGGACATGCCAGGGGCCGTGCCAGGGGACTCGCCGCGCGATGTGCCAGGGGGATGCGCCACAGAACGTGCCAGAGGGACTCGCCAAGGAACGTGGGTCACGATCCTTCGTAAATTACACTCCGCCGGCCCGAAGATGCCCGAAGTAGCACGAAGGGCCACGAAGCACTCCGCCGGCCCCAAGATGCCCCCAGTAGGCCCTAAGAGTCCCCCAAGAAGCTTCCAAGATGCCCCCAAGAGGCTCCCAAGAAACCCTCAAGAGGCCTGGCGGCCTCCCCGAGGCACCCAAGAACCCCAGAGGCCCCCGGGACTGCCAAGAGACCCCACGACGCCTCAAGATGACTCCAAGAAGCTCTCGAAAGACATCCGAAGAGACTCTGAGAGGCATCCAAGAGGCCTTTGGCCTTTGTGCTCGCCCTCCTCCTCCTTCTCTTCCTCCTCCTCATCCACCCTTTCCTCCTCCTCCGTCCTCTTTCCTCCTCAGCTGAGGATCCCCCTACGGTCCCTCGGCTAACGAAGACGGCCGTAGGGAGGGGTGACCAGTACCTCAACCTCAAGGCACACATATGCCACCACCTTTAATCAGAGGCGTCAGTTGCCACCCACCATTCCTACCCTCCTCCTCCTCCTCCTCCTGCTCAGTAGCCAAGCGCACAATCTCCTTGTAATCGTCAAGCTGCGAATTGTGCTGTCCTCTGGATTTCTGGTTCAATTATTTTTGTTGCACCCTACTGCTGTGCGGGAGGCGCTTTGCACGAATGTATGATCTGCGGCTTCTTTGACGCAAGAGCTGCCGAGCCCAATCGTGTGAGCAAAGAGGACTTGGACGAATGGAAACTGAGGCGGGCCAGCGAAAGAAGATCAAAGGCGATGTGGCCGCTGGCCTTCAGTGCGGGATCCACCCACCGCATCAGGCTTGTGCTCTTTCCCTTCCCCTTGCCCATGCCTTTTCCCTGGCGGGTCGCCAAGGAGGGCAGTGCTTGACTGGAGGCGGGAGCTCCGCGACTCGAAGCGGCAAGGCCCGCCGAATGTTGTTGCCTGCTTGCCGACCGGTTTGCTTACGTACCTGCGCCCCTGCGCACGTGCACCCACCTTCCCGCGCGCCTGTCTGTGTACGCCGCGCTGCGTGCGCGCACCCACGCGGTCCATTGCGACCAGCTTCCAGGAGCACAGACCGGTGCGAGCAATGCAAAGCAAGGCAAGGGGCGGGCGGCGACGGGGCGCTTACGGGGCGGCGACGGCCCACCCGCGGGGCGGCGATGCGGCGTCCACGAGGCGGCGACGGTTCGCCCACGGGCCGGTGACTCACCAGGAATTCGGGAAGCAGGCCTGGCTTTTTCACAAGGCAAGAAGGAATGCCACGGTGCAAGCACTGCCTGGGAGATGAGCCGTTCTCCACACACGCCTGCGGGGCTACATTGCGTCATGCTCCAGCACACCAATTGCGTTGCATTGTTTTGCGACGAACTGCAGTGCGCAACGTTATGACGTTCTTTGGAACTGCAAGACATCACGCCCCTATGGTGCAACATTCTTACATTACGCAGCGCAACATACCAATACATTGCATGCAACTGCGTATTCACATTGTGTAATGCTACATTCTACTACGGCATGCTACATTACAACGCAACGCATTCACACACACATTCACGCACATTCACACACACACATTCACACACATTCACACACATTCACACACATTCACACACACATTCACACACATTCACACACATTCACACATTCACACACACATTCACACACACCATATTGTACGTCATCGCGGCACGCCTCGCTATGTCAACACGTGCGTCTATTATATTCTGGAGGACGCTTTGTCCCAGTGCCAAACGCCTCCTCTGTATTTCCGACGCCGCTCTGTGCGAGACTGCCGCCTGACAGCCGCAGGCCAGTAAAAGTGCTAGAAAAGAGGTACTTGCGCACGTCAACGACGGGCGCGTGACAACTTCCAGTCGCAAAACAAATGAAATATTCAGACAGACGGACAGATGATACACACACAAATGCAACGCATGGGATAGATCCACATCTACACCGCGGTCCATGGCTCTGTCGTGGGCTTCCTTTCTCGCTCTGATGTCGCATCCGCCTCCACTTTCCGCCACACCTCCTCATACTCGTTCCGCTCGTCCTGATCCTGATGCTGCTTCTCCCTCTTGCTCCGTGCCCCTCCTCTCGCTTCGGCTCCCTGGGCCGCTCCTCCTCCGCTTTCTCTGCCCTGGGCGCTGCCAACCTTGAAACACCCTTTTCCCATCAGCGGCATGCCCGGCATGCCCATCTTGCCACCAGGGAGGCCCTTTCTGGCATCCTTGCCCTCGGGCGGGCGCTGAGAGGTCATCGAAGGGAGGGAGAACAAGGAGGGGATAGGACACGTGTAGTACTCAGTGTATGGCCAGGTGGCGCGCGCCGTCAAACATCTGCAGGCGTTGCGCAAGCCGCCGCTCCCTGCCCGCGCGCGCGCGCGTGTGTGTGTGTGTGTGTGTGTGTGTGTGTGTGTGTGTGTGTGTGTGTGTGTGTGTACGTGTGTGTACGTGTGTGTACGTGTGTGTACGCGTGTGTGTGTGTGTGTGTGTGTGTGTGTGTGTGTGTGTGTAAGTGTGCTGTTCCCCTCCCGGCAATGGTTGCCAAGACAAAGACTCCAGTGTGTGGGAAGTGCTCTGGAGGCGTATCTACATGCTTCGCCTCTAAGGGGCTTCGTTGGGCATGCCCGCCTATCCGCACCACTTCTCCGCATGGTGTGGCGCAGAGGGTCATTGCCAAAGAGGCTGCACACATCAGATGGAATCAGCTCGTAGCGTGCTAGTGCGACCATGTGTGGACTGCGGCCTTGCTACGACGGCTGGCTGCAAGGGTTGTCAGGCTATGCGGAGGATCCCTCTTGAGGGATGGGTGCCTGGGCCGTGGCCCGCTGCATTTCCTCCCTCGGCCCCCACCCATTTGCAGGCTGCCGAACATCTTTCCAGCACGGGGAGGCGAGGCTGATACAGAATACGGGGGCGACATCGTGCTACGGTCGGGAACATGAGCCCTTCTGAGGCCTCGGCTTGGATAACACCTATTCTGGGGAAAATCGCGTTCTGATGGTGTCAACCTACCCACGTCCATCCAATCTGGCTGAGAAGCCGGGCGTCGGCGGCTCGACCCGCCTTGACGTCACTGCTTTTGCTCGCTCTCCCGCCCCTGATCCCTTGCTCCTCCTTTTTCTTGGAAGCGCCTGTACTTTTTTACTTCTTTTTCAAGTGCCATTGAGTCCTTTGCTCGGTAACTTCGTTGGCAATACTCGTTGCGCACCACCCATGCGGCTCAGCCGCATTTGGTGCCTCGCTCTTTTCTGCGCCCCGTCCGCGTGACGCGTGGCACGTCCCACGCGTCACCTGGTGCGGCCAGTGCCTTCGCCGGCAGCGCCGCTTCAGGCGGCCTCCCGCCGTCGGCTCGGCCCCGCTGACACCTCGCCAGCTGTATTGGCTCAGCTGCCGGGGCCTCGGCACGGTTGGCTGACTGTCCTCTTTTCTGTCATGCCGTTGGCACGACCGCGCGTCTCCTCGCGCTGTCCCCGCTTCTCCGCTCCCCCGTTTCGGCCGCTGACCCACCGGTGTCGTCCGCGGCCCTGTTAGTTTCGTACACTACCCATGCGGCTTAGCCGCCGTTTTTTTTTGTTGGGTGCCTCGCCCTGGGCGGCTTGCGGGGGATCCCGCGGCCGCCTGGAGCGTTCGGCACCTCCTGCGATTTCGCCGCCTTGGGCATCGTCGCGCGTCTCGTTCTGTGCCCTCTCTGGCACCACCGCCATCTCTTGACACCTGGCCGAGCCGCGAGGCTGCCGTAGATAGGCGTCGGCAGCGGGGCCATCTCGCCCCCCCACTGCAAAAGGCCATGGCTCGCGTCTTCTTTTTGGGCCTTCCGGTCGGCCGCGCTGCGGGGGGCCTGGGCACGGGGTTGGCGCTCGTGGGGCGCGGGGATGCCTGCACCCCTCGTGGGCTCTCTCGCCGGAGGGCTGCGGCTGCTTCTGGTGCGGCGTTCCTTGCTGGCGTTTGGCTGGGTAGTCGCTGTGCGTGCGCTGTGGGTGGATACGTCGTCCATGGCCGCCGTGTCGTGTCAGCACGGCCGCGCAGCTCCTCGCGTCTTTTGTTCTCACTTCCGCCTCCTCGTCTCTTTTGGTGGTCGCGACGGCGGTTGTCTGGCTGGGTGGCCAACTCGCCGCGTTCAGGTGCCCTTACGGCGGCACTGTCCCATGACCCTGCTCTTTGTCTTACAGACTGAGGATTCGTCATTCCCTGCAGTCCAGCTCTTCGCACGCCCAATATATTCTCGCACTACAGTTTCGATGCTTGCAATATTCGGCATGGCTGATGACCCAATTTACGCGCGCTGCGATCGATGCTGCCACGCGGCGGCTTTCACACATCCCGTAGCTCTGCGTCGCTGGTCCGTGGTTTTCCACCCCACCCATCGGCTTCGGTCGCTAGGTTAGCCACACCACCAATATGTTTACAACATTTCCTATGCTTCACTGTCTAACACCGTTGTTGTGATTCAGTGGCCGCAATTAGCCGTTGGCTCTCGCGTTTCACTTGACTCTGAGTTGAGTTATCTCCTCGTTTTCTGGTCGCTGCACGTTTCGCTTGACAGTTCCTCGTTCACACCCATTGCTTGCATGATGCGGTGATGCGGTGATGCTGCTTGCGCGCAACGCTATCGACAACGTTCGGTAGCAATTAACACCTCCGTCTGCTGTTCGCGCTTGAGGACCCTCTGCGCCGCCGAGTTAAAAATATGTGTGTGTGTGTGTCGTGTGTGTGTGGTGTTGTGTGTGTGTGTTGTGTGTTGTGTGTATGTGTGTGTGTGTGTGTGTGTGTGTGTGTGTATGCGGCCGACCCTCCCTGCCCGCCTCACTTTAGCGCGGCCCTCCGACCCCCGCGCTTCCCCCCCGCGCTCTCTGGGCCCGACCTCGGCCGTCCCTGCCCGCCTGCCTTTGCGCGGCGTCGCTCCCTGCTGCCCCCGCTGCCTGCTGGCTTGCCCGACGCCTGCCCCCGCTGCCCCGCCCGCGCCCCAGCGCCCTTTCCCCGCTGCCCGCCGTCTCCCGGCCCGCCGTCGCCCGCTGCTGCCAGGTGAGGGGCCTGCCTCTTCCTTGCCCTCTCTTCCAGCGTGTGCGCGCTGGCGACTTCTTGAACGGCGTGGCGCTGCGCCCGCCCGCGACGACCGAAAAGTGTGTGTGTATAGATGTCTCTGTGTGTGCGCGTGTGTGTGTGTGGAGCCCTGGCTTGCCACCAGAGAATCAGCGTCTTCCATTTCCCAGCCCGCTTGAGCGCGCGTGCGGACTGCCTCTGCCGTGCTGCCACGAAGAATGCGTGGAGCCCTGGGTGTCCTGCACGAGCCTGATCTTGGCAGCTCAGCGATCGGTTGCGCCCGTTCCTCTGGGAACCTCGCTCGTCTCAGTTGACCTTGACCCACTGATTGCACCCCGTGGGCGCGCTGGAGGAACATGTATGTAGGAGGTAGAGGCTCATTGGCACCGTTGGCAAGGTCTATGGTATGTGGAGTGAGCTTTGACAGGGACAGCCCGAAAAAGAAGATTACCACGATCGATCGGGAAAGGCATCGACAAAGGTCTCGACAGGCAGGACAATTAAGGTTAGAACGGTGATGTGTACCCCTTGAGGGCTTCGTCTACGAGCGGGAAACATAGGCAAAATCAGTGCTCGAACGGAGCTGCAGGAAAAGCATAACGAAAGCAGAACGACAGGCAGGCGCAATATCGCTGGCAACATGAACAGAAGGAGAGCGACAGAGAGAAAGAGAAAGAGAGAGAGAGAGAGAGAGAGAGAAGGAGAAAGCACGATCTATATGGGGAAAGAAAGGCACATGCCTACATTTATGTACATGGGGAGAGAAAGAGAGAAAGAGAGAGAGAGGGTCAGACTGATATATAGAGGGA